TATATCTGATGGGATTTTTTCCCGATCATTTTACCTCGATCACCTATGGGATATTTCCTAAAGATGTGTGATGTCCAATCCTATATAAAGCCGATGATTTTGCATAAATAAACAGAGTGTGAAACGAGCATTTTCTCATCTTATTATCATCCTTCCGACGATACAGAGTTAGTCACATAATATTGGTGCATTCTAGTCGACTAATTGTCAATTCAACAGGTGGCAATTGAATATTAGACAGCGAACATCTAACTCAAGTATATGTACTTCTCTCCTACCTTTCTTTAAACGTCAACATTTCTCTATCTACATTCTACATGAATAATTTTCTCTCATGATCAGTCGGTGACTCGAAACGTTACAATAATATATTTTTGAAATTATGTAATAAACAAATAATTTGTGCTGAATAAATAAATATTATGAGTTTACACACAGTCCTGCCATTAAATATCCATAGCCGATGTCAATTCGACATACGTAAGTGTATACGACAAACGTGTTCTTCCCTTCTCTCTTTGTGTTAAAATTGTAGATAATTTACGAAATTTTATTCTTGTGTTTGCGTCTTTAAAATGATATTCAAAATATTGCGACGTAGACAGTTAATTAAAAAAACTACTTTATGATGATTACATTCAAAGCAGTTGTAGATTCACTGAGATTTCTTCTCAAATTATCACCAATTACAAAGCAAAAACTAAGATTTGCAGCAAAAATAAAGCCGGGAAATTCATTCATATTCAGAAAATCGTTTGATGTATGTTATGCCTTAGCGTTAAGGTATAGACGCCACGAATAAATGAAGTCTAGTAGCTTTTTGATTGAAACGACGATGATAAAAAGCTTAGAAATACATGAAATATAGCCTCATATGTTGCCATTAAAAGAACAACTTTAGATAGTCTTGTTAGTTGTATTCATTTTATTTAGCTCCGTCAACAACGAGTGTAATCCTAACCAGTACTACTACTACGGTTTCTGGGACAGTCATGTCTTCTATGTCAACAGCAGGTGAGATTTATGATCGTGTCTTTCAAAGACGTTTAATGTTCTCTTTTGTGTCGCTGACAGGGATCTGAAAAAACCACTGTGATGTGATCAATCTCTTTTCACCACGGGAAAAAAACCGAATGAAATAAGATTTAATTAGATTATATTATGTAGATATTGAATGAAAGAAACAGAAATAAAGAGAGCGAGAACATAGTGGCAAACTATTTTGAAAAAACACATTTATTAAGATAAAATGCGAACAAATTTATATAGTATCCCGTTCACTGCCTTTTTCTCATGTAGTAGCTGGGGACGTTCCTTTTTGCTTCAATGCCCAGACGGAGTTACACTTCTTTACTTGAAAGAGCAGAGAAGACAACGTTGACTTATAGGTTTGTGAAACTCCCCCATAAATTTGGTAGAGAATACAAAAGTCTTTTATGCCCCCCACCCCCTGACAGCGTGACGAACCTGCTCTGGGCGAGAGGCATCGACTGCCCTTTCTCTGGTCTTTTTCTTCTGCTATATACAGGCAAGAAGCACCTTTAACATTATATTTTAGTAAAATTAATATTTTTATAGTTTAGTATTTTCGTCTGCGATGCTTGTGGCTGTGTGCTAATTTTTGTTTCTTCTCCACGTCAACATCTCGATCTCAAATTATTATTATATAAAAATTACACTATACTGTTCTTGGAACAACAAGAAGAACATTATCAGCTTATATTAGTTGAATTTTTACTTGTACTATCAACATTGCGCAAACAACTTTTTGTATCAAACTTTATTATTATAATAAACGCTCAAGGTCTGTTGAACTGAAAGCTTAATACAAAAGTGGCAAGTCCATCGAAGGCGGTCAAAAGAAAATATCCTGGAAAGGGGATCATCTCGGGGAACAGATTTTTGCGAGGAACAAATCTTTAGATATGGGACATCTGGCAACCCTGTCAATGTCACAAAACTCTAAAGGTATTCTGTTTACAGTGCATTAGGAACATTATTTAGTTCTTGACCAAAATGGTTTAGGAATTGAACTGAAAAACCTTTCGGAGTTAGCAGCACTCATGAAAAACCCCTTTGATTTTTTAAAATAGTAAAGTGGTTTATATGTCAATCCTTTAGGTTAAGTAGCGAGAAGAGAATACCTTTAGGATTTTGTGACATTGATAAAAGACCCTTAATTTCTTAAAAAGCAAAACGCTTTAGTAACGATATAAAATCCTCAAATGGTTTCTCAAATGCGCTACTGTACACTTTTGGGTATAGAAAAAAGAATAAAAAACTGCTTAGGTTTTGTAAACTGTCTACCTCTTTAGAGAAGAGAATGCTTTATAACAGTACCGCATAAGACGCCGTATATTTATCATTTTGAAAGACAAGAGTATTTTCCTCGCCAGATATATTTTCCTGTCTCGTCATCAACCACCATAATAATTGCAGAAAATCAGTTACACAAAGATGCCAGAAGTCAGATGGCAACTGACAGTTCCATTTAGCTAGGCGTAATGAAAAGAACAGAAAAGGTAGTTCGGGTGTGTTGGCTCCTGCATTCAAAACACAAGAGATACATCTCAGATCCCACTTTCATAATATAATGATACTTTTAGGCTTTCGTGCACTAAACAATCAAAATGTGTAATTCAAATGGTACTTCAAATCAAAATAAAGATAGCAAGAATCAAGTGTATGATACTCCGACGACCGTCGAACTATTAAAGGTATTATCTGAGCATCAAAATTATAGTTTCAGTTAATTCTCATCAGTTGATCATAGTAAAATAGTTAAAAAAACTATCGAAAATTCTGAAAAACAAAATCAAATACTACTAGCAGAATTAACTGGTAATTCTGTAATGAATGAATTTGTAAATGACCTGTGTGCATTTTTTAGCAGTACTCGAATAGCGTTAATACTAGTAACGATTGCGGCACTATTAACTACGAGACTTAATAAGCTCGATCATTAGACGCATTATCGTCATCATCTGCTGCTGCTGCTTCGCTTAGGGAAGCCGTCAAAAGTCGCATCGCTGAATTTATTCACCGGTGAATAAATTCACCGATAACTGGATTGGAGAGAAAATTGAGAACAGAATTATTCAATATGCCTGAAAAAAAGAATGTGGAACTATCGTACGCTATAATTCCATCAAATATCATGCTAGTGAACTTAAATTTTTACCAGAGCTATCTTGGTATGGGTACTATCTATGATACAAATTTAAACTTGATTGAGTTAAGCGTTCTCCACAAATACTTTATTCTTTAGACATAGACAAAACGTTATCTACGGTTTGCAAAGAGGTTTTTGCAACCAAAGATGCTCCGTTTCACGGGCTCTCTACGGTTTCGTGAGGTAGATCCAGGGTACTATCATGAACCGTCATCGAATTTTTGGGGAAATGATGGAAAACACTTGGGGGCCTCTTGTCAAAAACGGTCAGCACACTCGGAGAAACATGAAAATATTTCTTTTAAAACCCATTGAATTATACGACAATCCATGCAGAATTTCATTCTGCATCTGAATATGTACACATGAAGATTCCACCGTGCATGGGAAAGGAGAATAACGCCTAAAACTTCGGATTTTCCAAGGTGGATTAAATCGGGCTTCGGAAAAACAAACCATTGAGTAATTAAATTTAAAATTGAAACTAATTAATTTTCTGCTAATATTGGCTTAACTTCTTTATGTTCTAATAATAATAATTGAAATTTATGTATAGTTAATGATTGAAATAGAGGCAATGGGACACGATTTAATAGATTTTAACATTTCCTCAAACAATATTTTATTATCATTTTCCATGGGAATCACAATGTTTTCATATACAAAAACATAATCAGCAAAATCAGCAGGTAATGTATTATTGTTTGTACTATATAACACAGTAGATAATATGCGACGAACCTCAACAACAGTCACAGATTTAGAAAACCAAATTGGTTTAAATTCATTATTAAGGGAAGCCGTCAAAAGTCGCATCGCTGAATTTATTCACCGGTGAATAAATTCACCGATAACTGGATTGGAGAGAAAATTGAGAACAGAATTATTCAATATGCCTGAAAAAAAGAATATGGAACTATCGTATGATAGAATGAACATGTATGTATAGAGCAGTATGCCCTAATTCTGGCAGGAGAAATTTCAAGTTCACTAATTTTCGTTTTTCGGTGGCATTTCTTTAAGATTAAAGAAAAACTTTTATATAGCGGTGTAGCTGAGATTCTGCTC